GAATTCTGTGTCTGTGCGAGTAACAATTTCTGTGGCCCTAAGTAACAGTTCTGTGGCCCTCAGTAACAGTTCTGTGTCCCTGAGTAACAATTCTGTGTCTGTGCGAGTAACAATTCTGTGGCCCTAAGTAACAGTTCTGTGGCCCTCAGTAACAATTCTGTGTCCCTGATTAACGTTTCTGTGGCCCCAAGTAACAGTTCTGTGGCCCTCAGTAACAATTCTGTGTCTGTGCGAGTAACAATTCTGTGTCTGTGCGAGTAACAATTCTGTGGCCCTAAGTAACAGTTCTGTGGCCCTCAGTAACAATTCTGTGTCCCTGATTAACGTTTCTGTGGCCCCAAGTAACAGTTCTGTGGCCCTCAGTAACAATTCTGTGTCTGTGCGAGTAACAATTCTGTGTCTGTGCGAGTAACAATTCTGTGGCCCTAAGTAACAGTTCTGTGGCCCTCAGTAACAATTCTGTGTCCCTGATTAACGTTTCTGTGGCCCCAAGTAACAGTTCTGTGGCCCCTCAGTAACAATTCTGTGTCCCTGTGCGAGTAACAATTCTGTGTCTGTGCCCTGAGTAACAATTCTGTGGCCCTCAGTAACAATTCTGTGCGAGTCCCTGTGTAAACAATTCTCCCTCAGTAACAGTTCTGTGTCCCTGAGTAACAATTCTGTGGCCCTCCTCAGTAACAGTTCTGTGGCCCTCAGTAACAATTCTGTGTCCTCTGAGTAAAACAATTTCTGTGTCTGTGCGAGTAACAATTCTGTGGCCCTCAGTAACAGTTCTGTGTCCCTGAGTAACAATTCTGTGTCTGTGCGAGTAACAATTCTGTGGCCTAACAGTTCTGTGGCCCTCAGTAACAATTCTGTGTCTGTGCGAGTAACAATTCTGTGTCTGTGCGAGTAACAATTCTGTGGCCCTAAGTAACAGTTCTGTGGCCCTCAGTAACAATTCTGTGTCCCAGATTAACGTTTCTGTGGCCCCAAGTAACAGTTCTGTGGCCCTCAGTAACAATTCTGTGTCTGTGCGAGTAACAATTCTGTGTCTGTGCGAGTAACAATTCTGTGGCCCTAAGTAACAGTTCTGTGGCCCTCAGTAACAATTCTGTGTCTGTGCGAGTAACAATTCTGTGTCTGTGCGAGTAACAATTCTGTGGCCCTAAATAACGGTTCTGTGGCCCTCAGTAACAGTTCTGTGTCCCTGTGTAACAATTCTGTGTCTGTGCGAGTAACAATTCTGTGGCCCTAAGTAACAGTTCTGTGTGGCCCTCAGTAACAATTCTGTGTCTGTGCGAGTAACAATTCTGTGTCTGTGCGAGTAACAATTCTGTGGCCCTAAGTAACAGTTCTGTGGCCCTCAGTAACAATTCTGTGTCTGTCCCTGAGTAACAATTCTGTGGCCCTAACTAAAGTTTCTGTGGCCCTAAGTAACAATTCTCTGGCACTCAGTAACAATTCTGTCTGTCCCCTGAGTAACAATTCTGTGGCCCTAATAACGTTTCTGTGGCCCTAAGTAACAATTATCTGGCACTCAGTAACAATTCTGTCTGTCCCTGAGTAACAATTCTGTGGCCCTAATAACGTTTCTGTGGCCCTAAGTAACAATTCTCTGGCACTCAGTAACAATTCTGTCTGTCCCTGAGTAACAATTCTGTGGCCCTAATACCGTTTCTGTGGCCCTAAGTAACAATTCTCTGGCACTCAGTAACAATTCTGTCTGTCCCTGAGTATGAATTCTGTGTCCCTAACTAGCGTTTCTTTGTCCCTAAGTAACGATTCTGTGGCCCTAATTAACAAATCTGTGTCCCTGAGTAATAGTTCTCTGTCCCTAAGTATCGTTTCTCTGTCCCCAAGTATCGTTTCTGTGGCCCTAACTCTGTCCCTGTCCCTAATACAGAGCGGTCTGCCTCTGTTCAATGACTGCAGGCAAATGAAGAATTCCAAAATGGCCGCTATTTATAGCTCGACCATTACACAGTGCTAGCTGGCTGGCTGCTGATTGGCTGATGCGATCACATGTCGTTGAGGAATGCATTATGGGTCAGCGCGCCTTGTCTGCGTGCCTTCCCAGACATCCCCGCTCCGTCGCCGCACATGTCAGCCGCCATTTTCGGAAAAATTTCGATTCGCGCATCCGAATTAGGCTATTTTTCGGATTCGGCGCGAATCGAAATTTTTTCCGATATTCGACTCGAATTCCACTTCGGCTACTTCGATTCGCTCATCTCTAGTATTTACCACAAGGCAAAGAAGGCAGTACCTTCCCCCAGAAGAAGGGATAAAAGAAGGGACATGTGTGCCATGGGAACCAGGTGGGATCCAAGAGAGGCTGTGGGCTGCTTGATGGTGTATGCGGAGCCTGACTCCCGTTCCCAGGGATGTCTGTAGTTTTGAAGATGAGTGTCTTTCTCTCTATCATGAAGGGGTAGTGGAAGGCTCTCCTGAGTGGAGGGCAGGGGTGTTGTTGGTCAGTGTCAGGATCTCTGCAGGAGGGGGAAGGGGAGGTGGTGTTGGTCGGTGTCCGTTGGGACAGACAATTTTTGTGCTGCCTAGGGCAGCACAAAACCTAAATACACCACTGAGTACACTACGTCTGGAGATTTGACTTTTCTCTACTGATACATTCAACTATGATTTGTCCCTGCACCAGTCTGTGACTGGAGAGTGAAAAAAGAAGAAGCACATTGATGAGTTCATCTCTTTGTCACTCTGCTCTCTTCTCCTATCAAAGTATTTCTGGTGTTATAACAATGCAGCCTGGTTAATTGGCACCTTGTACTGTTTCTCCCCCCCCCCAGATTGAGCTCTGTATACAGGGCATTGTAAGGGTCTGATAGAAACTCAAATTCATGTGCTTACATATAGATGCTTTTAGAGATACACTTAATGTTGTTTAATGAACATACTGTATACTTTCATGACTTTGTACCTTTCTATCTGCCTGGATTCTGCTTTAAGGCATATCAAAACCCAAAAACAGAAATGTACTACAATGCAGCTTACCTTTATGATGATATCAATCTCAGATTCCTCCTGCACATAGCTCGTGGGACAACAATGAATGTGCCAGCAGACTTAGGGCCAGAAGCTGAAGCCCAGAAATTATTTTTCATTGCTGAGTGTATTTCTATCTCCTAGAGTTGCTTTTAAGAGATCCCAATATCTATATCTTACAAGATGTTTTCTTTCATATGGGTCTGGGCTATATTTACCCAGGTTGTTAGACCAATTGCAATAGTTAGAAATACTGTATATGTACAAATACTCTGTTTGGGAGCTGCATCTAGTAACATGTGAGATGCAGATGTACAGTATATGTTGTGTGTGTGACAACTGATCCTAACCACATTTAGGATCTTTAATTTGTATTAGAAATACTTTTGCACACTTTTTATTTTTACTTGGTTATCATACTAGAAGTCTAGTAGAAAATCAGAAAAGAGGTTAAAATTACATCTGCCATAATTACAGGGATCTTCAAATTCTTTGTAATTATAAATGCCATGCAGGGCAGAAAACGTAATATCACAGAGCTGTAATTAGAATTATGTCAATGGTTGTAATTGTTTCTCTTTTTTTTTTTCTGTAGCAACATTTGTATCTACCTACCACTGATGTGAACTCATGCAGATTTCAATTAACTAATCTATCACACTCAGCTATGGGAAAATCGAAGTATAAAGGGTGCATGATTCCTTCTGTGCCTGTGAATATAAATGAAAGGATGGAAGATGTTAACATATTTCCTGAACCACTGCTATCACAACAAACAAATTTTTTTAATGTTTCAACCCAGAATGCACAACCACTGCAATCTGTGACTTCACAAATGCAACGGCAAAACCCTGCACCTGGTAAATGTATAAGGTCTAATGCAATGTCACCACTGCCTATAAAAATTATTAAGCACCCTTTATGTCGAAGCCCTAGCCCACTTACCTCTCAATATTTTGGATCATCTTCAACCATATGTAGCATGAATGACTCGCCATCTCCAGTTCCAAGACCTGAAGCTACATCTCGGCTTTCATATTTAACATCTTTGCTAAAATTAAAAAAAACCAGCACATGATACAACTGTTTCCCCTGGTCCAAGTCAATATCATTCTGGGGTTAGTTCAACCTCACATTTCTACAAGACTGCAGAAACTTCAAGCCCACCAAGAAAATCACAATCTTGTTTTGCGCTTACTTTTCCAAAAGACTTTAAAAATTCAGATGTCCAAGGGAAAAAAGAAAATCTACCAATATCAGATATTTTACATACTAATTCCTCATTCCATTCAAGGTCTCTTAGAAGTCTTTCTCCAGAGTCAATACCATTAAAATCATCTTCAGGGTCATTTTGTTCTCGAAAAGGGGTTGTGTCACCATTGTTAGAGTTGCCTCCCCAGTCAAATACAGTATTAAACTCTAGCAGAGAAAATATCTCACCTCTAAATGAAAAACCACCATTAAACAGACAGTCTTACACACCTTTAAAAAAATATTCTGTTCTGGGCAAATCAAGAAGAGTTACATTATTTCCACCTCCTTTACCTTTTCACCAATCAGTCTCAAATGCTACTAGTCAAAAACAAAATGTAAAGCCATATGTAAAAAGATATATGCCACTCAAAAGCAATTTAAGGACATCCTTTAGCTTGAGTGAGAATTTAGATCAGAACCGTGCAAGATCTACTTCGCCCATGGAAATCACAGAAAGCTGCAGGGTTCCTCCATCATATCCCAACGCTTATCAGCTATTTAATGAACATGCAGATTCAGAATTTGATATGTCCCCATCATTACTTTCAAGCTACACACACCATTTTGATAGTTCTGAAGAGTTATCAAGGAACTACAGTCCAATGTGCACATCTCCTGCTTACATTTTGGGATCACCAAGATTCAATTTGTCAAGATCCTGTGAACTGCAGTCAGCAAATTCATTATCTCAAAGCTCTGACCAGGAAAATAGACAGGTATATTGTGCATATTGACTTCATCTTGCATGTATAGTAAATTCTATTGTTAATAGCAGGCTTTGTGTTGTGTTAAAATTACTACTACTATTATTTATCACGAATAAGGCTTACTAGTATTATGTGATTTCCTGGACCTTGTCCACATATTCACATTTTTTTGCTATTTAGTATGAAGGCCACTGCTTTTAACCCATTTGCTCTTTAGCATAAGGTAGGTTCTTTAGTTCAAAGCACACCTTCTTTTATGTGATAGGTACTGTTCTTCTCCACAATTCTGGTATCCAATAGGAGAGGTGGTTCTCTTTGTCCTTTTGCTTTGTTTATACCATCAAGTTTATTAGGCTGCCAAATGTAATGACTCCTCACATGGGTAACCAGCCTGATGAGGGTGGTTACAGTTAAGTGACTGTGCTATGGATGCCAAGCAAGAAGGTAAATGGAAAATGTTGAATTTATTAATATGATACAGCAAAAAAATCAGCACAATAGTGAATAAAACTATGAAAACAACATTGAAGCAAGGTACATAATATATACAAAAGCAACTAAATACTAAAAGGCAAACTAACAGCAAAGGATCTGTGAAAATTAGAGTATACAAGATAACAACAAAACAGGATTAGGGTTCAGGACTTTGTTTGGAAGACACAAGGATGCAGGATTCATAAAAAAGAGGTAAGAGCATAGACTTAAGCAGGTTACGGACTAAATAGCAAAATCCTGAGATACATGACAGAAGAAGACTGTGATAAAATGTCTTACACCAATCATGTTCAAGGGGCAGTAATGACCAAAGGAGAACCCCTATTGGTCAGCACACCCAGCAAGTATAGCTAGTAGTTGTAAAATTCAAATGGATATTTTCTGCATTTTTAAAGACATTTCATCACTCAACCAAGGGGCTTCCTCATATCAATAAGGAAAATATAGCCCAGTATTTATAGCCACAATAGTCCAAATACTATACTGTCATTAAATGTGTGACAACAGATGTTGATTGTCCAAGAACATAGCAAGAGGTATAAAAGTTTGTGAAACCTCACAGTTATAACTAACATAAATTGGTCAAATGGAAAGGGGTCATTAAATAGTATTACCCAAGGTAGGTCTTGTTTTTCAGTTGAAGGAACTCTTTTTTAAAAATTGTATTTTAAAAGGAAAAAAAGGAAGGAGCTCTGCAAACAGGAGTGAATTGACTTACTGCCAACTTACTTACAGTTTACTTACAGTGAATGTACTTACTGTCAGTAACAATCTAATCTGGGCTTCTAATCTGCATGATAGAGTTCAAAACTGCTAACTCTAAACATGTATGTATGTATGTATCCATGTATCTATCTATCTATCTATCTATCTATCTCTCTCTCTTTGTCAAATAGCCAGCAATTTATTTTAACTATGTGCAGAATGTGCTGTACATCCACATCCTACATATTCAGTAATGAATGTGTACAAAAAACAGCAGTAAATGATTTGTTTATCTAAAACGACAGATTACCATACAAAAGAGGCTTATGCAGATCCACTACAGAAACAATAAAATATTTTTTTATTCTGTAAACAATTCTCAAATTCACCACATATGTGGCAACTGATAAAAAGCATGGTTGTTTTGCAAAACCTTAGGGGAAACCCAACAATATGAATGCATTTCTACAGTTTATAGATCATTGTTGTAATATATTTTGTCATAAAAAGTAAAAAGATACAGTGGAGTTGATTTACTAAATCTGGAGAATGCAAAATCTGGTGCAGTTGTGCATGGAAGCCAATCTGCTTCTAACTTCAGCTTGTTCAGTTAAGACAAACAAATTGGAAGATGATTGGTGGTTTCTATGGAGAGCTGCACCAGATTTTACACTCTTCAGGTTTAGTAAATCAACTCCACTTTGTAGGATGAAATTAAAGAGTACCTTAACCCAAAAGCAAAAATTTAATATACTGCATCTTACTAGTCTCTAGGTGGTGGCTGCATTAGTTTTTTTTCCCTGTTTTCTCCCTAACTTTTACCTGGTGTTCCAAGTAACACACTTCTTGCTCTAGGGTGACAAACCTCACTCAATTCGCTGTATCTATCAGAATCAGCATTGTAACCCCAGGCTGCTATCCTGATTAGGACTACATACACATCATCCTCTCTCTCATTTTATACAACTGTATAGGAGGTAGGGGAATATGTTGCTTACAAAAGGTAGTTTGAAAGGAAAATAAAATTAAATTTATGCAGGTACCATTACATTGCGCTTTTGGCCGGATCAAAAAGTATTTTCTGTACTTCTAAAAAATGTAAAGGTAATGCAGCCACCACCACAAGGAGTGGTAATCTGTAGTTTTACAGATACGTTAAAGGTATTATACAGTCCTTGCAAAACAAATGCAAGAGTTTATTTAGCTAGTCCAACTATTAGTGAGCATATACAACAATCAGAATTCATCTTACTGTATTTATGTAATTTAACAGATGAATCCTGATTGTTAACTGTTGATAATTACCTGTTTATATCATCAGTGCTATTTGATTTATTTAACAACATTTAAGGTCTAAAATGTACAGGATGATACATTTTCAACTTTTTAATTTAAGTTTAAAAAGAAAAAAAAAGGCAAGGCTGAATGATTTAGGACCATGGCCAGTACGAAAGGAGTTATTCCCATAACTACATTATATCTCATATTATCAAGCAAATACCACAGTTAAAAATTGCTGACTGTCCAGTTAAATAAAAATCAGCAAGTTACACATTTAAATAATAATGTGTTATGGTGCTTGGTGATGTGAAGTATTTATTGTAATAAAGTAATATGAGGACACTGAAGTGACTAACTGGAATCAAAATGTTCGTTATGTACAATTGAAAGAAATGTTTTTACATTATCGTATTGTAATCTTTATACATCAAGACTTCAAGTGCAATGATGGAAATGCTCAGCAAGTACATTGTGGGGTAAAACTTAATGCAATATAAAAGCAAATGTACAAGGGTAGAACAATAAAATAACCTATCACATTTGTTTCTTTTAGTCATACAAGATCAAGTCAAGTTACAAATCTTTTGCTGCAATTCCTACAAATACATTACTTCGAGACCAAAAGGTTAGTGAGAGCATCAAATCATAGGGTAGCATATATTTTATATATGTATTTTGTCAATTTATTTCACATATTTGTAATGCAGACATGTATATCTTTTATCATAATGCCCATTATATGTTCAGAGGTGGGTGGGCATCTAAGAATGTTAAAGACTGTTTCCATATCTAACATATGAAAAAAATGTACCTCATCTCATCCACCCATCAGAAATGGTGCAATTAGCCCAACACCAAATTATTTAATACAAACAAAAGAAGAAAGAAACAAAGTGTGGCTGTACTCATGGGGTTATATTAACCACTTGCTCTCCACAGGATTAACCCCCCTTCCTGACCAGGCCATTTTTTGCAATACAGCACTGCATTACTTTAACTGACAAGTGTGCAGTATTGCAATGCTGCACCCAAATGAAATTTAGGTCCTTTTTTCCTACAAATAGAATTTTCTTTCAGTGGTATGATAGCCTGTGCATTTTTTATTTTTTGCGCTATAAACAAAAAAGACCAACAAATTTGAGAAAAAAGCAATATTTGTGAGTTTTTGCTCTTAAACATGTCCAGTAAAAAACTGTAAAAAATCTATTTTTTCATAAATTTAGGCCAAAATGTATTCTGCTACCTGTCTTTGCTAAAAAAAAATCCCAATACGTGTAAATTAATTGTTTTACATATAAGTTATAGCATTTACAAATTGCGGTATAGATACTGGAATTTTTTTTATACTAGCAATGGTGGCGATCAGTGACTTATAGCAGGACTGAAAGACTGAGGTGGACATTCTGACACTGGGAGGAACTGACTTGGTGTCATTGACAACAATACAGTGATCAGTGCTAATAAAAAGCACTGATACTGTATTAATGACACTGGGCAGGAAGGGTTAACATCTGGGGCAATCAAAGGGTTAACTGTGTGATGTTTCACTATGTTGGCTGTGTGTGTGCCTCACTGTAAGCACACTGCTTTGAATGGCTCTGCTATGCATACAAAACAGTGTGCAGGAGCTGACAAAGGAGAGATCTGTGTTGTTTATGCACAGGTCTCTTCCCAGTCGGAGATACTCGACGATCACTTGGTGCCACCAAGTAATCAATGGCCGGGACCCTGTGATTGACAGCCGAGACGTGAATGGCACATGCCCCCTACCTGGAACTGCAAACTCACATATATACACTGTATAGTATGTGATTTTGTGCAGTTGTGCTGCCCTGTAGCAGTATTTCTGCTACAGGGCAGCGCGGAACTAGTTAAATAAACCGTTATACAGACTTTCACTATTTAATAGATCATCAGAAATCCAAAATATATACATTCATTTTACACAAATAAGCCATTTTCATACCATGCCACAGCAATATTAAAAAAGACAGACCCGTATTATTAACAGACATACCCTGCTGCATTCAGGTGCATATAAAATGGCCACTGAGGATATAAAAACACTCAGCTTGCTATTATGTAACAATCATAATGGCTGCAGATGTCCACAATGTGGGAAAAGGAAAACGTTTACATCATCAGAAGAAAGGTTGAGTGGGTTATCAACTTGATAGATTTGTTTTAATCAACACCGCTGCTCTGTTCTAAAGAAGGGACTTTATTATTGTCTGTCTCAATCAGGATCAGGATTTTGAGGTATATAAGTGCATCAGACCATTTTTGCAGAATATACAGGTAAAGAAAAAGGGAAAAAGAGGGATGTTGAGGAATTTACAATTGAGGAAAGGTCTGACAGTTGTTGATGTTTTTAAACTTAGATGCATTGTTGGAGGATCTTCAGGAGGAGGATTTTGAGTGAGTGGAAGATTTGCTTGAACTCCCCCTTCATACAGGTCTTAAACCCAATTCAACTACAATATCCCCTTTATCAGTGGGTAGACATATATTTCTCTTTATGGAGGTGGTAGAAAAATATCCACATGACTTAGATTGGGCCTCATTGGCACAGGACAGCATAACCCTATGTGACCAATAGGCTTTATGGGAATTACATGAAGCAAATGATAATTTTACAAAGATGAGTGATAACCTGGGAGATGTGGTCCTGAAAGAAGTCATGAGATAAGTAAATTATGCAATTTATGCTTGGACAAAAATTCACAGGTCTCTCCTCCCTCTTTCCTGCAATAGCGGATAAACTAAATTGAAATGGGGATACTGAAATGGAATTTTGAATGAAAAAGAGTTAACGTTTTTATGAATTGAAATGTATAACAAGCTCAAGTTTTATTCAATCCCTAATATATAGTTCATACTAATTTGATCAAGGCTGATTATTTTGGGGGACCAATGGAAAAAAATGTTAACTAGGATGCAAAATTCCAAACTTTTCTGGTAAGATTAAAATTGTACACCCAGGTCCACAAGCAAGTTTTGATTAAATTACAAGTGGGAAATATCGAAGGAGAGCTATTATTAGAGGATTGAGATGTATAGTAATTGCCATTTATTTGGACTGTAGGCTTGTAAAGTAAATTTGGAGAGGTGTTACCCAAATAATTTTGCGCATAATGAATTTGTATTGGATGTGCTAGGACTTCATCTTGGGGTTTGCCTCTTAGTGTTTTGAAAAAAAAGAGAATAGTTAGCTTTGGCCACATAAACATTACATTTGATCAATTATGCCTATTATATGTGAGCAATGTTATGCAGAGAACAGTTCCAACATTTTATCAAGTAATAAAGTAAATCACAATCACTACTTGTTGAGCTACATGTCTTTTTTCAAACCTGACTATTTAACAATGGTTCAGGGATATATTTTGTATTAAATTGAAGCCCTATGTTGACCGGTTGGTATCATCCCTAATTTAAGTAAAAGTTTCCTTTAAGAAGGGAGGTGTGGAACAAAAAGGGGTTCATATAAAACCAGCATAAGTGGATGGTTGTTAGGTGTTCAGCACACATCTTGATGAAAACATCTGAGGTGAAACGTGTCTATGTGATTTAGAACGAACATGCCTGGCAGCCTGCTTGTTATGCAGGCTAGATGAAGGTCTTACAAAGCCATGAGAGTGTTATTTGGGATGCACTGTATTGGATAATCCTGAGCAGTGATTTCAAACACGCTTAGTGAAATTAAGTCCCTGATGAATGATTACTTATGCTGTGAAAAGGATGTGACTTCAGGAGAGAGAAGTAGTACTTTGAAGTCGGTATGAGCTTTCCTTACAGCACTTTATACGGCAATTTTATATGTATCACTGAGTGGAATTGCTTTCAGTTAGAAAACTCTTATTCCCCACTTAATGGCAATTTTTCATGGGACAGGTTGTGTGCAATATTAATCCAATTTTAAGTGAAGGATATTTGGCCAATTTTAAATTTAGAATACCGTATATACTCGAGTATAAGCCGACCCGAATATAAGCAGAGGTACCTAATTTTACCACATAAAACTGGGAAAAACTATTGACTCGAGTATAAGCCCCATCATTAGTAACAGTGGGAGGAATAGTGCCCCATCATTGGCGTCAGTGGGAGGAATAGTGCCCCATAATTGGTATCAGTGGGAGGAATAGTGCCCCATCATTGGTGTCAGTGGGAGGAATAGTGCCCCATCATTGGTATCAGTGGGAGGAATAGTGCCCCATCATTGGTGTCAGTAGGAGGAATAGTGCCCTATCATTGGTGTCAGTGGGAGGAATAGTGCCCCATCATTGGTATCACTGGGAGGAATAGTGCCCCATCGTTGGTGTCAGTGGGAGGAATAATGCCCCATCATTAGTATCAGTGGGAGGAATAGTGCCCCATCATTGGTGTCAGTGGGAGGAATAGTGCCCCATCGTTGGTGTCAGTGGGAGGAATAATGCCCCATCATTAGTATCAGTGACACCAATGATGCGGCACTATTCCTCCCACTGACCCCAATGACACTTGCTGACCCCTGTTGCAGTATGGTGCTGCTGCAGCCAACATATGTGGTTGCAGCAGCACCTCTGCACTGCACACTTACCGGCTTTTCCCCTCACTCGATTTTCGTGGGTCCGCTCGGCTCCGCCTCCTTGCCCGTGATTGGCCGCCTGTGTACCTTTCCTGAGCTACAGTTCTGGCGGCCAATCACCGGTGAGGAGGTGGAGCCGAGCGGCAGGAGTGAGGGAGTGGCCGGAGTGACGGAAGGAGCAGCGCTTCCTGGATGGATCATCGTGGGAGCCAGGTAAGAGACAGCAGCCCTCTGCCCACCCCTGTACGCGCCCCCCTTGACAAAGCCTCGCGCCCCCCCCATCCGCAGACGTTGACTCAAGTATAAGCCGAGGGGGCCGTTTTTCAGCACAAAAAATGTGCCGAAAAACTCGGCTTATACTCGAGTATATACGGTATTTGTTTTTTCCGAGGACTTACTTCTTGAAGTGCAAGCAATTACGTGGCTGAGCAATGTAGGATGAAATCAATTAGCAGCCATCAACAACTATGAGGTGTCTGTTTATGGTTTAATGCACATAGCCTTTTGGAGTTTGTGAAATATTATCCTATCTAGATCTACCGTACATTATATTAGAGCCAATTGCAAATGTTAAATACAATCCATAAGGGAATTGTGCAATATTACTCAACTGGATATATTCACAAGTGGCTGAGTAACATTATGATGAAGTTATAAAGTAACTGCTCATAATTGTTTACTGACATCTTGCTTATTTGCACATACACATTGTAAGTTCTTTAGATTGTGCATCAAAGAGGTTGCTGTAACAACTTAAAGGTAGTTTACTAACTGCATGACGTGATGAATTAAAACCTCACGTTTTCAGTGCATACAAATTCATGTAAATCGACCAGCAGTTCTAGCAGTTCTAGACAAAGTAGGCACAGGCCTATGGGCTCCCCATCGTTTAAGGGTCCCACGACAAAGGATCAAATTAATATCAATTTGATCTTGAAAGAAAAATGACAATGAAGCTTTCTTAAATTGTTCACAAAAGATAGAAAAAAATTAATCAACTCAAAGAAACAAAAACTTTACATTAAAGACTTTATAGAGAAAATACTGTATTCATGTAA